TTTCTGTGTTCCCCTTGCCCCTTGTTCTAAGACAACATTGCAGTGCAGAAGGGCTGTGTCTCTGTGGAAGCTGCCTCACGAGAACTCCTTGATGGGAGTTTTGGGTTAGGGCATAAATGCGACTTTTCTCCTTCAGTGTGTGTTTGAGTTTGTCCTTACCCCTAAAGAGCCCACCTGCATCTATAGAATCCGCTCCTGCCTCCACGTGCCAGTTGTGTGTCACACCTGTGCTCACAGGGCACAAATAGTGTGTGTCCTCCCCCAAAGGGAACTCACCATCAGAACAGCCTTTTGTGACGGTGAATGGGGCTGTCTGGCAGTGCAGGTATGGGTTCTCAGTCCCTTATTCCAGCTGCCTTTGCAGAAGGACTTAGAGGCTCTTTTAAAGGAGCCAAATTGCCGAGTCCCCTGCAGGACTCTCATGCCCTGGACCTACAAGCTGGTGTAAACTCCAACCAGCCCCTCCCAGCTGGTGTAAGTGATGTCCTTCCCCTGCAGTGATGTGCAGGGAGCTGAATTCTGATTTGAGGCTGAAATATCCCATGGCCAGAGTCAAAAGTAAGATAAATGTGCCTTCGTTGGAGTGTTTCCTCTTTCCTCTACACTTTGCCCTATTGCGAGGAGCCGCTGTGAGGGGGACAGGCAGGCAAAGCCGCCACCGTCACTCAGGCAGAGTGGCTGAATCACTGCAGACAATAATCCTCTCGATTTTGCCTTGTTTTTTACAATCGTTTGAGAATTTGCACTAAGCAGAACAAGAAAACCTCTTGGTGCCCCAGAGGCCTGTCTTGTTCCTCAGGAATAACAACAGCCACTAAACAAAAACTGAAGCAGAAAAATTAAATCCACAAGTAAACCATAAATAATGGGGTAGAGCTGGCTGAGAGTGCTTTGATGTTCAAATGAACCAGCTGCTTGCTCTGGTTCTTTTCCTTGACATTTTCCTCTGCACACTTTCCTAACTTTCCAGAGGCAGGATAGCAGTACCAGGCATGACAGCTCCACAGCCCATGAGCATTTCCAGCCCTGCACAGAGAAGTGTGAGCTGGGTTGTGTTTCTTGGCTGGGCTTTTGGGTGTCTGCTTTGGGGGGTCATTCCCCTGGGACAAGCCTGTCTGATGAGGTGTGTGCCCGGCACAAGGGTCTGCACACCTTGTCTGAGTGCAGTGTTTGCAATAGAAGCCAATTCAGCACTGTGCTGCTGCTCACTGGTGCCCTGCTGGCTCATGCCACTGAGGAGGGCAGTGGAGCTGGTGCAGGGGCTGGAGCACAAGCGTGATGGGGAACGGCTGAGGGACCTGGGGGGTTCAGTGGAGAACAGAAAGCTCAGGGGGGACCTGATCGCTCCCTACAACTGCCTGAGAGGAGGATGGAGCCAGGAGGGGCTGGGCTCTGCTCCCAAGGAACAAGGGATGGGACAAGAGGAAACGGCCTCAAGCTGCACCAGGGCAGGTTTAGGTGGAGCTGAGGAACAATTCCTGCCCCAAGGGAGCTCAGGCACCGGAAGAGGACGGCCAAGAGACCCTTCCTGTACGCCTCAAACCCACTCAGGGCACAGACGGAGGCGGCAGCGGGGCAGGGCCGGGGTCCTGCTCCGGGAAGCGCGGATGCTTTCCCCCGTTGCCCGCCCTGCGGCCGCCACCCTCACCCGCCCGGCAGCGCGGCACAGACGCGGCGGCGCCTGCGGGGCACGGCGGAGGCCGGGCTGGGCTCCCCGCATCCCCCGGGAAGGAGCCTCACCCGCGGGAGGTCCCAGGAGCCGGCCCTGTACAGAGGCACCGAGCTGCAGCCGCAGGGAGCATCCTTCACCGGCGCAGCGCAGCCGGGCTGGCGACGAGGACCGCAAGGACTCCAACCGGAAGGGCTCTGCTGGGGAAGACATCGCTGGATCCATGGGCTGCCGAGCCTACTGCTTTGTTTCCTTCTTTCTGTCCTTTCTCCTTTTCTACTTCGGATCTTTTGTAAGAATAAGAACCTGCCAAGGCTGTTGTTCCTGCTGACACGGTTTTAGGGGAGTTTACAGCAAAACCAGTTTCAGTTTTTCACCTCTGGAGGGCCTGTGGTTTCTCCTATGAACCGTGCAGAGCGTGGTAAAAGATCACACGGGACAACAGGCTGCTCCGGGCAGTGCTGGAGTCACCGACCCTGCAAGTGCTCACACACCGTGTAGCTGAGGACCTCAGTGCCATGGGCTAGTGGTGGCCTTGGCAGTGCTGGAGAACGATGGGAGTTGATGAGCTGAAAGGGCTTTTCCAGCCTGGCTGAGTCTATGATTCAATAATAATACATAAACTGCATGTGATCCCCCCAACAACAGAACAGCAGTATGTGCCTGTGCCTTGACATGGACAAAGCAGAGCAGCTGCTGAGCACACCGAGGGAGGTCAGCTCCTGGGCGGCACTGGGATACACATGATGCCAAATGCCACACAAGAAATTCCAAAATGATACAAAGAGGGCATCTGAGGGGAATGAAAACTCCTGAATTTTACTAAGAAATAGGTGGAAGAACGAGATGAAGTGGGGAGATGTAAGGTGGGGAGTGGGGAAGGGAGAGGGAAAACCAATAGTGAAGATGTAGTGGAGACGAGCCACAACGTGGAGCACTGAGGGGGAGCTCCAGGCAAAGGCTGGAGGAGGCAGCAGCAGGACCCTGGCCCCTGCCTCCTCCAGCTGGGGACTGCTGCTGAGGATGGGTCCTGGTGAGGGAAGGGGCCGCAGGGGCTGGCACTGCCATGTCTCTGTTCCCAGAGTGCCTGTTTGAAACGTCTGTAAAAAGTCCATTTCCGTATCAAAGCATGTTTGAATTTGAGCTCTCAGTTTGATTGATTTCAGTTCTTCTGCATCTGCTAAATAATGACACAAGCGTTTTCAGAAATGCCCTTCTAGCACTCTCTAAACACTTGGGTTTGGGCTGTAACCAGACCTCCTCCTCCTCCTCTTGGCCCCTGAAGCCCCTGTCCAGGCAGTGGCAGCAGCCAGAAGGAGAAGGGGGACATCTCCCTCCTCCTTGTGCTCCACTGCAGCAGAGCATCCGTCTGGGTGCAGAGGGGTTGGAACTGAAGAAGCTTTAAGGTCCCTTCAACCCAAACCACTCTGGGACTCTGAATTTCTCCAGTGCTGAAGACCGAGGCTCAGCCTGGAGGCAGTCACCCACAGCTGGGTCTGAATGAGCACAGAAGCAACCCTGCCCACATGTGATGCCCATGTGCAGGCTGTGCTTTGCAGAGCTGCTGCTGGAGCTGGACCAGGCACCCCAGAAGTGACCTCTCCAGCAGGTGCCCCTCTCGGTGGGAGCAGTCTGGTGGCCATATGAAAATGTTGGTATTTCCTTTGTGGAGTGAGGGCTCTAAAGGTCAGACATCCCTGGGCTTTACTGGCGAGGTTAACTGGGGGACGGTGGTTACCTGTCAGAACAAAGGCCCAGCTTCCCCAGCACCCTCACCTCCAAAAGCAGCCGAGGGAATGGGTTGAATTCAGGGAGAGCCTTGGCTGCACTGCTCCAGCCCACAGGCTGTGTCTTGAGGGGCTGTGTTTAATAATGTTGATAGGCTTCTTTCCCCATGAATTTGTCTAATTGCTTTCTGTGTTTCTGGATATGCATTTGCTGCTCTCAGCCAAGGAAAGGTTAATGAATTAGAGCCCTTAAAAGCGCCTAAAGGGTTTGAAAGGAAACAATTCTCTAAACACAAAGCCTCCTGTTCTCATTCTGTCATTAAGAGCTGAAGGATTGTTTGGAGGTTGGTGGTGCAAGTTTGGGGACTTCAGTCCTGTCCCCCCTGCCCTGCCCCATTTCTCACCCCAGATAAACTGGGGTGGTTTCTCTGGGTCTGCCCAAAATCTGCTGTTCCCATTAAAGCCATTTTGTGCTGTGCTTGGAGGGGTTGTTTCTTCATACTTATCTGCTGTAAGAGCAGGAGGGAGGGTTAGGAGTGGGTTTATTTCAAATGTGCAGCCTGAGAAACAGCAGCTGCTGGTTATGGATGGGTTTCCCAGGGCTCAGCAAGTGAACGGAAGGAGGAATTAAGGGATCAAAGTTTGGTATGAGTGGAAATGATCAGCATGAATGCAAACCTGCTGGAGCAGAGGCGTTCTGAGGAGAAAGGTGGCGCTGCTGGTGGAGCCCTGTGGGTTGGGATGTATGGCCATGGAGAAGGGAGATGGGAGGGTCCTCACTGTGCTCCCCCCATGCTGGACCAGTTGTGCTGATGGGACAATTCAATATGTGCTGCCAGCCCAGGGATGCTCTGTGGGTCCTCTCACACCACCCATGGGGGCTGTGCTCCCTCCCATCTAGGCCGGGAGAGGACACGTGGATTTGGGAGAAGCATGGCTTTGCATCTGCCCCTGCATGAGCAGGGAGGGCGATTGTGCCAACAGTGCACAAGGGCAGCAGGAGGACTAAAATGGTACCTGGGGACCATCCCCTCTGTTCGTGGGGTGTTGCATTGAAAAGCAGCACTGGTCTGTGGCTCCTGGCTGGAAACACTGGTGGCTCTGGGTGACAGCGGTGCCTGGGGAGCAGCAGAGCAGTGTCCTGTGTGGGCAGGACTCTGGGGACAGCTTCTGCAGGGGACACACTGGTAACTACTCAGCTCCCAAACCTGGAATTCAGGGGTGTATTTAGGGCAAGTGGGTTGAAACTGACCACCAGGATTGAGCACACAAGCTCTAAAAGAGGAACTTAATGATCTCCTGGAGCCTCCCACATCGGTGGCTGTAGTACTCTGGCTCCTGGAAGAGGTGGTGTAAACCCTGTCTTCTCTATGTAGCTGTGGGGAACCTCTCTAACATCACCTCTGAATTCATTCTATGGTGAGGATAAAAGACGGGACAGGGGAGGTTAGACACTGCAGTGGGTGCCTCATGCTGGACTGGGAACACAGCAGGTAAAGCCCCAGCATCAGTGCTAATGGGGTAGTGCCAAGGATCCCCTGGAGGTCTGCATGCATCCAACCACCCTGACCAACCTCACCTGGGACCTCTCCCAGCTACCACTGACCTCCAGCCCTTTGCTGGGGCTGTATTTAAGCTCAGGCTCCTACTCCTCTTCCTTTCCTTGCCTGTGCTGTGTGAGTGCTGTGCATTGCCATGCTCCTTGGCCTTGGCTTCAGCACTGCTTTTGGACCTTCTCCGTTGCTATGAACCTGTGTGGTGGTAATCACTGCCCCAGAGCTGGCTCTCCTTGCTCTGGTTCCGAGCCCCATGTTGGTGAGGTTGCCGTTCTCCTTGGCTCCTGTCTCATCTTCCTTCACAGAGCAGCCCCCTCTTGCTGCTTCTTGATGCTTTATCCTCAGGTAGGTCAGCTTTTGGCTTATTCTATTTTATTGTTTAATGCTTTTTATTGATGGAAGAGGTTCTATCAAGACACAGGCCAGTTTCTTCCTAAGGTTACCTCATCTGCTGCTTCCACACAGGAGCACCCACCCCCCAGCAGTGAAAATGGCAGTGCAGATGCTGGGGAGGGCATAGGGGTGTGTGCAGGGGGAGTGGGGCTGTTGCTGAAGTGAGTTACTGCCAGAGCTGCAGCAGTTACAGGTGCCCTCAGGACCATTTCCAGAGGAGCAGTGTTTGTGCAGCCCCTGCTCTGCGGGAGCTGGTTGTTGCCCAGAATAAAGAGATGCTTATACTCAGCTTTTCCTTTATGTTGTCTTCCTGCTGTTCCCAAGCTCTGGAGGCTGCGGGTTGGCTGTGCCGGGCTGCTGCAGGATTTAGGAGCTGATTTTAAGGGCTCAGAGTGAGATTTTACTCTCTGCTTCCAGGTGCTGGCAAAGTTTTAAAGCACCAGAGGCTGCCTGCGATGCACTCTGCAGCACAGCTTCTGATGGGGACACTGAGGGATGGGTACAAAGAAAAAGAGCTGAGGAAGCACAGACTGGGGAAATAAAGATGAACTAAAGGAAGAAGAACTGTGATAAGGTGGCAAGAAGCTAACGCTTCACCAGCTGCATGGTGCAGCTGGTAACCCAACAGGTTTAATGGGATGCTGCCTGCTGCTAACTGAAAGGGCTGGGATCTTTAAATAAGTACTATATTGACAGGCAGGAGGCTGCTCTGATGGGGTGCTCAGTCCCCCGAGCTCTCCCTGCTTCCCCTCACAGTGCTTCATTGAACCTGCTCTTCTCCCACATGCTGTGGCTGCTCTCTGTGAGCAGCAGCACTCCAAGGTGAGTGTGAGCTGTGGGGGACATGGTGTGCTCTCCAGCCCTGCTGGGAGCACTGGTCCTGCTCTCACATAGATGGCCTGAGGGAGGAAGGTTCATGCAGGATGCTTGGGCACATCTTGGCCAGGTTGATCGAGTGCAAAGCACCCTTGCTTTGGGTATGGACCCTGGGTAGGCCATTGTGCTGCTGTGCCTCTGTGAGACCCTCTCTCATTCTCAGAGGCATGATTACCCCTCCAGTGTCTGGTCTCTGATGCATGTTCCCTTGAATGATACCCACAGCTGCTTTATCAGCTGAAACCTCACGGAATCATGCCTGGTTTGTGCTGGAAGGGACCTTAAGGCTCATTCAGTTCCAACCATGGAGAGGGACACCTTCCACTTGAGCATGTCGCTCCAAGCCCCTGTGTCCAACCTGCCCTTGAACACTGCCAGGGATGGGGCAGCCACAGCTTCTCTGGGCACCCTGTGCCAGCGCCTCAGCACCCTCACAGGGAAGAGCTGCCTAAGAGCTCATCTCAGTCTCCCCTGTTTCAGTTTGAACCCATCACCCCTTGTCCTGTTGCTACAGTCCCTGATGAAGAGTCACCTTCCAGCATCCTTGTAGCCTAACCCTTAGGTGAGATGCTGATGTTCTTAATTGGGATGCTGAGTTGTTTTATGGTAAACCTCTGTGGCTTTTATTGCTGCATTGAGGTGCTGACCAGTGCTTGTACCAGCTGTGAGACTGGCTGAAGTAGCTGTGCTTAATGGCAGGGCAAATCCTTCCTGGCAGGTTCCCTCTGCTCCTCTGGCACAGCCCATAGTTCTTGAGGAAAATGAAGAGCCAGGAATAGGGGCCAGGTGATTGAAACCGAAGGAAGAAGTTAAGAGTCCCAGCTGTAATCATAAGAGTGCTGAGCACTTTGTTCCACTCCAAGTGTGATCAGTCCAGACTTTATGGCTCCTCCAGGCCTTGTTGTAGCTCATATCCTCCTCCTGTGCTCTGCCACCAGCTGCAGAAGCGAGGGGTGAGAAGAGCTGGGAGACCAGTAATGGACCAGCCAGAGCAACTCTGCTTTACCTGAGCAGCTGTTTAGCTCTGAAGTGCCACGCTCTGATCCTCTCCATGCACAGTTCTTGATTTAAACCCACTTTTAACGTAGTTTCTCTCCAGCCCTTGTGGCCAAATACGGAGTTCACTTCTCTGAGCCATATCAGGTGGCAATTCTGTTTCTGCCTTTCCTGGAGCACTGATTTTCTGTGTGGAAACAAGACAGGTTTCTGCTGTCAGAAAAGGGTTGGCAAGCTGAACTGCTCACAGGTTGCAATGTGCTGTGGGTTGGCCTCTAAAAGCTGGGCAGGCACCATAAAAGGTTCCTCCATCTCAAATCCTGACAAACGCTCCCAAGGGCTTCAGCCATAGGTTCACTAAGTGTGGGGAAAAAGGTTGTTACAGTGCACTGGAAGGTTGCTTCTGCACTGGAAAAGGTGTTCCATCATGAGGGATGTCTGGGGTATGGGTGGAGATGTTATGAAGTGGTTGGGGCCGAGGCTTGCTTTGCCCTGTGACTTGGGAGGTTCCTGTCTCCCAGCACTTGCTGTAGCTCTGGAAGCCTCATGCCACTGATAGGAGCAGCAAGAGAAATGCTGGTTGCTGAAGGTTGCCATGAGTGAGCACCAAGGTGACCACAGACTTCTCCTGCCCTGGTGTAGGCAGGGGTGGAGAACTGCGCCCAAGCTGAACCCGGAGAGGAGCAGGGCCACCTTCTAAACCACTTCCAAGGGCTTCTGGGGGAACCAATGTGATGCCAATGTTCTCCTCCATCCACTGCATACCCCCTTCTGCTTTACACATAGCTTTGAAAAGTGCTAGAGCAGCGTTGCAATAGATGGTAAAGGAGTGCAAAACCAGTTAAAGTGATTTCTACAGAACTAGCTCTATTTTTAGTCACAGTTTGATAAATGAATGTAGGTAAAACAATGGGAAGAGTTTGTGCTTTCTCTTTTGTATGAAATTCAGAGGAACCTTGAAAAACTGGAACAGCTCAGGAGAAGACTGAGTTAGTACTGAGCACAAAGGTGTTTTCTGCCTGAAGAGCAGGCTCCTTGCATGGTGTCAGGGAGAAGTTAATCTTAATTTCCTTCCTTTATTTCCCTGCTTTGTTGGAAAATTGACAGAAAATATGACCTAAACCACAGGTTTCTGGCTTGCTTGTGGGGACTGTAAGGGTTCTTCCTTGGGAGTCTGTGCTTGGTTGTGAAGAGTTAGGAGCCCTCTGACACAGTGCTGGGAGATGCTGCTGGATGGATCTTGGGTAGTACAACTGAACTCTGCTAAATATGCATTATATTAACTGCTCTGTGCTTTGTGAATAGCCATTATGGCTGTGTATTTACCATGACAGGTAGCTTTTAAAGGATAAGAGGTTGATTTGTGTGTTCCTGACTCTCGGGCAGAGATCAGAGACTGAAATTGCTCGTGGACAAACTGGCCCCCAGAGCTGCAGGGTCAGGCTCTTGAGTGCAGAGCCAAGCTGGGAGGGTTACTCAATCTGAATAGCTATTCAATGGTTAAGGAAGAACAGCAGCTTCCTGGTATTCCTTATTATAGCTGCTGTGGGAGTTATAATTAAACCTGCACTTCGAAAAAAGAACTCCCTTAGAGTCTAGAACTAGACTTGATATCTTTTTTCAACATATTACTTAGAGTATATGCAGGTATTGGCTCTTTGCTGCAGAGTGTTTGATACCCAGCAGGGTTAAATGGGAGATGTGCTAAGGGATATACTCCGGGCAGAGAAGCACAGAGGTCTCACCTTGGACACTGCTTAGCAGGAGGGGTGTTGGGAGAAAGGCTGAACTTCATCACTGAATAAGAGGCTGATATGGTCTCCCCTCTGTAGAGCAGCAAAAGGGGTCTTCAGGGTGAACCAGGTGAAGCGACTGCTGAAGATGTGGGGAAACGTCTGGTGGATGCAGATGCAAAATGTGGATTATTCTGTTATGCTTCTGCTTCATGGGAAGTGTTTGAGGGCTGGGTTTGTGCTGACAGGGTAAAATAGGGGTGGGTGGGAAGGTGAACTGCTTTGAAATGGGACATAGACTTGACCTAGTCCCAGCTACAGCCTCAGCTGGGTTTAGAGAAGGTTTTCCTCTAGGTTTTCTCAGGATCCTTTGAAGGAGAAGCAGTGGTACTGTACTAAGGAGAGCAGTTGCTTGAGGGATGCCTGTGTTTTGACAGAGGACCCCCGAGGATGAACATCCTTCTCAGTACACTGAAGGTGTTCCCCTGCAGCCCCTCAGGAGGCAGATTATCGCTGTGCATGGACGGGTCCCTTTGCTGCAGCAGCTGAATCCTATGGGGATGAGCCTGGAGTGAAAGCCCAGCTGGAGCCTGCAGTGTCCGAGGCGAGACCTCGTGTCCAAGCCCACCCAATGCTGCAGTGTCAGAGGGATGTTCTGAGCTGTGCCCCACAACATGCCTCTTCCCATCTCCAAACTCACCCCACCCTGCAAAGAGAAATGCCTCCCTTGTTGTAGCGCTCACTCACCTGCAGGACACTTGCTCACTCTCTGCCAGCTTTCAGGCGTATGCAAATGTAATTAATTTGTTCTAAATTAATCTTCAGTGCACAGGGGAGCAAAAAGACACAACCTTCCCTGGCTTTCCCCAGCTGCCATTTATCCTGGTGGTAGTATGGAATAATAGGACTGTGAGAGCATTTCCTATACACCTGTGCCATTGTGGAGGTGTGCTCGGAGCTGTCTGCATGGCAGGATAATCGCTGTACCTGCTGCTGGCGGAGCTGTCTGTGTGAGCAGGAATGCCTCGCACCCTGGCTTGCCCAGGCTTCAGCAATGTCACTGCTGCATCACTGAGGGAGCTCAAGTGCCCCTTCAGCCCCCTCCCTGCTGGTGCATAATTGTACCTGGGAAGACAAACGCCATCACAGAATCACAGCATAGTTTGGGTTGGAAAGGACCTTAAGATCATCCAGTTCCAACCCCCCCGCCATGGGCAGGGACACCTCACACTAAACCAACTCACCCAAGGCTCTGTCCAACCTGGCCTTGAACACTGCCAGGGATGGGGCATTCACCACTTCTTTGGGCAAAAGAGCCCATAGCATGATTAGGGTTGGAAGAGACCCAAGTTTCAGACCTGTGGTGGTGCAGCTATGTCCCAAGCTCTGTGGTGGCTTTGGGAATGCAGCACCATTAACTTTGGGAAGCTTCAAGAGCAGCGGGGTTTCGCCTTACTTCTGTTTCATTTGTCTCTGGCCACTTAGAAATATGTATGTATTGGTAGGAGCTGTGCCAAGCTGCTTGTGTGTGTAAATCATGTGTTTAATTATACATTAATCTACATTAGCAGCTTTTTATCTAGAAACCTCAAAGCAGTGGGTGAGGGGAGGAGATGCGTGGCTGTGGTGGTGTGAATGTGCAGAGCATCACTGGAGGGATGCAGATATCTGTTCCCACATCACGTGAGGGGCCGTTGGGGATGACCATGGCCTGTTCCCAGGTCCCTGGATGAAGCTGTGTTCCTCTGTGTAACAGCCTGGCTCTGGATTACAAGGACACCTGCTTGACAGCCCAAGAGAAAGTCAGGCTCTTTCTTGCTAGTCCCTGCCTTTGAATACTCACTCGCTGCCCACCCAAAATCCTGTTTTCCCTTAAAAAGGTGTATACAGATGACAGTGTTTATGTGTCTGCACTTGGCAGTCTGGTCTCTGATGGATCTTTCCAGTGTTTTCAATAGATACACTCATATGATGTTAGAGGTTTGTTAGCCATCAGTGGCCAGCAAGTAGTCTACCAAGATCTCGGTTATGCTGCTATCAATTGCACATACTTGTGGCAGAAAAAAGCGGCTTGAATTTTAGATTCAGCTAAAGAAAGATTAATGGGAAATCAATGTGTGTGCTGTAAATTCTATTTAGTTAATACGCACAATGTTTTAAGAGTACAAAATAATAGAAAAGCAGATGGGGTAAAAAGACAGTAATTGATGGATCACCTTTGATTTTTGTAGGGAAAATAATCATGTGTAACTCCGAGATGAGGCACTTAGCAAGCTGCCGTCACGTTCTGCAACGCCCCTATCCATTTAGTCATGAAAATCACTGTTTTCAGTGTACCTGAGGGGCTGCACCAGGGAACAGTGTAGTACATTTATTCCGGAGTCTCAGAGATGTTGTACCTGAGGAGCAGCTGAGGAGGCTGCAAATGTGACTTGTAAAATGCCAGCCTTGTGTTTGGCTGGATGTGGGTGGTTTGTGGTGAGCCAGCTCCTTCCTGTCACCACCAGTGAGTGTCTCATAGGTGGCAGGACTTGCTCTTCTTAACAAGTAGGGAAAAACATATTTAATTTGCACAACTTCAGTGGGTTACCAGACCTTCCGGGCAATGGTCTCATTAGCTCAGGATACACGAATATCTCTCAAAAGGCAGTGCCATGTCCTAGTGATCATTCCTGAGGTGATTTATTGGATGAGATCTTGACCGAGTCCATCTCCATGGGAAGAGGAGGGATGGCTGATGACAGCACAAAGGTGAGATTCTTCCCGGCTGCTCTTTAATCTGTGGCTGGCTCCAAGACCTGCTTGGACACATTGCAATGTCCAGCATCCTGGGTGTTTGTAAACAACTTATGGCAGTTGATGGTAGGAAGACTTCTCAAATGCACAGATGCCAGGTCAGGGCCTGATTTGGATTGTTGTAGAGCCAAAGTCCCAGGAGAATGTCAGCATGGGATGACCTGAACACCTGAGTAGCCCATCCTGACTGTCTATTGCACTCTGATCCCAGTGCTGGTTCTTATCTTTATGCCCCTGCTGGCACCAGGCTGTGGCTGGATGCTACAGTGCTCCCTTGCACCCATGCAGCAGCAGTGTGGGATGAAGGTAGGCTGAAAATGGTACCCCAAAGGAGCTGCTTCTATTAAAAACTGAGATACTCTGAGATTTTCAGGCATGAGAGCAGTACTGTGCAGATGTACTGTGCTCCTCCTGGAAAGGCTGCTCTTCTCACTGAAGATTGATTGCTCTGCCTCAGCATGTGTTATTAAACATGAAAAAATACAAGAATGCAATAGAATAAACTACTATAAACCCCCAAAGATTTATGCTGGAGCTTTTCCACCCAGCTTCTGTGTTTGTTTTACTGCTTACTTAAGGGGCTCAATTCCCTCTGGGAAGAGGCAGGAGGCAGAAGGTGTGGAAGACACTTGTCACCTAAATGACAAGGCACAGTGCTTCAGAGAGGTGTAGTGCCTGCTGGCTGTGGGTGGGAAGGAAGAGGGATGGGTTTGGATAGCAGCAATGGGGCAGTGCTATTCCAGCAGTATTCCTCTTAGTGCATGTGTGGCAGATGAAGGTCCAGGTCTGAGGATAGGTGGGGCATGGATGCTTTTGCTACTTGGATGCTTTTCTGGTTCCCCAAAGACCTCAACATCCTGCATGTGTCCCCCCTGCCAAACCTCAAACAACAAACATTAGCAGTTCCTAGAGAAATAGATACAAGAATAAGACTCTCTTGGGAGCTTGTTTTTGGTTTTGTCTTTATTTTTTTAAGTAGAAAATTTGAGCTTTAATGCAATTCAATAGTCAGTCAGATCTCAGAGTTATGGATGTCTCTTGGATTTCAGTATGCTTCTTGCTGCCTTAAAACTGCCCTGGGCTCTCCAGGCAGTCTGGAAGGCAATGTGCTCTTTTTCCACTGCAACACAGCCCCACACCACTGGGGTCATTTTGCCCCTGCAGTGCCTCAGTCTCAGGGGTTCTGTGTGGGATGCCAGTAGGAAGCGGGGATCTCTTGGGTAAGCAGTGGTTCTTTTGACAAGTGGATTTAGGATGAAGCAGGGAGATCATGGGCTTGGGGGATGCTTGCTGCTGCAGTGGTTCTGCTGGCACCTGAATCAGGAAGCATTTTGCCACAAGAGTGGCATTTTCTAGAGGTGGAATTGCAGTGAGAGGAGGGTGATTCCGCTCTGGGTCTTTCAGCCTGGATGCACAGCAGGATCCTGAGCTTCTGATGCCGATGGTGCTTTGTTTTGGGGAAGGCACATGGGTTTTTTCCCCAGTGTGCCCTGAGGCATTGCCCTGCCACTGTCCCCATCAGAGCTGGATGGTTTTCCTGTTTTCTCACTTCTCCTTCCCCAAGAAGCACCAGTGATGCTCTGGCCAAGCAGTGCCTGGGGTCCCCAAATACAAAATGGGGCTGGGGGCTGTTCCCCTTCTTAGGGTGCAGCCAAGTGCCAGGGACTTCAGATGTGAACTCTTTGGTGGCACAGCTTTGCTAGGCTAAAAATGTACGCAAGGGCATCAGTCAAGCCCAACTGATAAGAGTTAGCAAAACCAAACAAGTAGTCAACCTAAAGAACCTTTTGTTCCTGTTAGTGTCATCAGCAGCTGGATTTTGTTCCGTACCCTCCAGATTTCCACCTTTTTCACCCAGCAGTCATTTTCCTGGGGTTATAAAGGTGTTGTTCTTGCTCTATACAAATACATCTCTGTCTTTCAAAGTTTCACTTTTAAAAATATACTTAATGACAAAAGCGCATAGAGTAATTTATTGAGGCTCTTTCTGCTCTGTCACCAGGGAGATACTGAAAGAAAAGCAAGTCTGGCATGGCAAGAAGGTGGGAAGGCTGAGGGAGAATTGGAATGGGAGATGGAACAGAACAGGCAGAGGGAGGTCAAGAAGCAATCTCTGTGTGTGTACAATATGTGTCCATAACATGTTTCTGTGTGCATACATTTACATATGTATACATGCACATATAAATACAGGTCTGTATGAATGACAAACCAGCTCAGGAGTTTATTATTGCTGTTATTGGCAGGAATTTTTTCCTCCTTTGCCTGAATATGAAAGAAAAAAACCCCCTACCTTATTGTTTCATGCCATGTTGTACAAGATGCCAGTACATAGGTTAAAGGAAAAAAATGCATGAAATTGGATAGATATATAAAGGTCCCTTGGGTGTTCAGTCATAACTCTTCATAGCTGGAAGGCAGAACAGACATAAATATGCCTGATATAACCAACTGTTTTACATACAAATGAATGCTTGCTTTTTATTTAGTTGACAATATTATTATTTCAAATCCAAGGAGAATATTAAATGAACTCCGGTAGGCGTCTCTATTAGGAGTGATCCTTGATCTCTTAACTGACTGTACTGCTGGCTTTGGGCTCCATGCAGGGCTGTGTAAAGCGAAGGGATATCTGCACATCTGTACATTGTTTCATGGCATGGGGCAAAAGTCACTGAAATGCACTCAGTTCTTTACAGAAAATGTGCCTTCCCCGTAAAGCCCCACTGGAAAGTAAGGTAAAAAGGAAATAAATGGATTTATGGTGGCCCATACTCATAATTACGGGGTTAGTACAATGGATGTCTACTGAGCTAGCTAAGTGCCTTCCCCTTCCTCTGCCTGGCAGCAGGAGTGCACTAAGGTGTGCCAACCCTAAAGCACCCTCTGGTGCTCTTCCCACTGCAAATGGAGGCAGAAACCACTGCTTTAGTGAACCTACCTGTGGGATAATGTCAGAGGGACCTTGGAAAAGGCTCTCTGTGCTGCCAGTGCTGAGAGTAAAAGAGAGCTGTAACGTGGGATTTCCCTGCAATCCCACCCGGTTCCTTGTAATTACTGGCAGTATTAAAACCACAAATCAAATAGCTGCTTGTTTCTTCTGGTTGTCCATTGACTGCAAACCTGCAAAGAAGCACTCGCTGCACTTCACTGTGCAGAGAAATGCTTTGGAGTGAACACACAAAGGCCAAGTAAAGAGATGAGGCTTTCTGAGCGTAACTAATTTGATGAAGAATAGCACTTACCAAGGAAAGGCGAGAAGTGTTGGCTTATTGGTTTTATACAGCTTCTTTGTAAGCCATTTGTATGTCTCTGGATAAGCAGCATTAAAGTGACTCTAAACACTGGGGTGTTTTTGGTGGCTCACTGACAACTGCTATCAGCGTGTTTTGAGTGCAGAGAACAGCATCTCTGTTTTTCTGGGAGCTGGGATTGTGGCTGAGTCCGTTCTTTTGTTGATATCTCAGCACAGTTTAGCTTTTTGGAAGCCATTTAGTAAGGTCTGTGGCTCTAAGGTGCTTGAACGTAGATGAGTTATGCAGGAGATGCCCTCCCTGGTGTGTCTTTTCTAAGCACTTCCTTCCATTCCCCAAGCTTAGTTCCAGGCTATTTCTTGCCTCTTTGGGTGCACAAAGCAAAACCCAGCTTAGTTTGCTACAAGTCCTTAGACTCATCTTTGCTGCTGGCTCACATGAGCTCTGGAAGTATTGTAGCTATTGAAATCTATGTGAAGGGAAGTTTAATTTTAAAACAAAGCCTTCAGATGGAGCCAGCCAGCTCAGAGGCTTGTACTTTAAACAAGAAAAAAAAAAAAAAAAGAGAAAGAATTAACATTTGAAAGCAAATCTCCCTTATTCTATATTAATGTGGAAAATTAAGATTAAATAATTATGGAGCACTGCAGTATTCTTATTCTCTTGGAGCTGAGAAGCTGAAGTCCAAAAGTGGAGAATGCTTCTGAGTCTGAAAATCCCACTACTTTTGATTTCTGCATCTACATTTAATTTCTAATCTACATTTTCTCTTCATGTCACACCAGTAATGCAATGGGAGGCCTCAGTGCAAGCAGGTCTGCTCCTGGGCTGGGTGCCCCGATAGTGAACTGCGGGGGATTTTCTTTCCCCTTTCATGGGCTATGGAGGAGAGGGCTGGTGGTGACCGTAGGGAGGTGCCATCTGCCAGCATGGCTTTGAAAGAGGCCCAGGGCTCTGAAGCTGCTGGCGTGGTGAGCAGTGTCCCTGTGCAGCCTGGCTTTGCATCAGTGCGAGGGGTTATAGCTGGGGTGAGAGCTGGCGGAGCAGAAAGGCTTCCGACCGATATGGTATCTTTGAACTGCAAATGACACAAGAAGGAATAGTGCACTTCCTGCCTCTGTGAGGTTTATCGCAAAGCCAAAGTTCCCTTGGAATGATGGTATTTAAAAGGAGTCCAATCAGCAAGGGGGTGGTGGGTGCTTGGCCCCACAGCAGAGCTGTGCTCGTGTGCTCCTTGGCCAGCTGCTGCTCTCAGCCAAGCCCAGGCTGGGTGGTCGTGGCAGTGGCAGCAGATAAATGTCTCACAATTTATTTTGGGAGTGAATTGTAATTAAAAATAACCACCAAACAGAGAGCACAGGACACAGAGAACCTACAGATGCGTTTGCAAGTCTTTTCCTGCTCTGCTTTCAAATACTGCTCAACTGGAAATGTTCAGGCAGCTAAGGGGGTTATCTGTTAATGGGTGAGAGATGGCACTGCCTGCTGGGATGCCCTCCTGCATGGGTAGCAAAGCTCTATAATAGTCACATTAGGAACACCTTTGATGTACAGCTTTTGCCTCCATCGCTTTCAGACCAAAACATTTCCCCAGCCTTAATGATACCTGGTATGAACAACAGCACAGGCCAGAAGTGCCTCAGGTTGCTCAACTTTTTGCCTGTCTGTTAAAAGTAGCTGAGGACCACAGGGTTTACAGTCACTTGTGGATGCGCCAACCCCAATTTATAAGCTTTTGTGCCATCATGGCAGAGATTCATCCATATCTCAGACCTCCTTCATTCAGGTCTGCTGCACCATGGACCCTCTTTCTCCTGGGTGTTACTCAGGTAGCTTCTGGGGATGTTTTATCTCAAAACCTCATGTTTCCTGTTGGAAATGCTGCAAAGCAGCTTTATTCAGCAAGTTGTAAAGAGCTCGTGCTAATGGGTAACATTCTGTGCTCCTTGTTTAATCTGTCAGCCACAAATAAGAAGGAAAAGAAACCCCAGCCAGCGGTGGACAGCACTGGCTCTGTGGAATGTTTGCTGGTGTGGGAAGCAATTGTTCCCATGACTTCAGTTTACAGCTCCAGAAACCAAGGGAAAGAAGTAAAAGCGCTGTGAGCTTTGTGGCTGCAGGTAGCAATTTGCACAGAGGGATGGTTGGGAGCTTTGTTCCTTCCCTAGGAAATGCTTCTGTGAGCCCCTAATCAGCAGCAGCTTCCCTGCAATGTGCCATGTGGTTAACTGCAACTGAACTTATCCTCTTTGATTTGCTTTTAATGTGCTCCGGCCGAGCAGAGACGTGAGCCTGTGCAATGAACACAACTGCAACCTGTTTATGCAGCAAAGAGGAATATTTTCTTGTGTAATGCCCTGTATCCTGGTGAAAACCTCACTGAGCGGGTGCTCAGGGACTTGCTATTCCAGCTCCATATCTTCTATGGATGCTATTTGTGTCTGTTGGGACCCTGGTGTGGTTTCAAGTCCTGGATTTCTTGCAGATCCCTCAGAAAGTTTCCTTTGGTGCCTAAATACCAGCTCCTGGGCAGGCTGAGGGAAGGGTGAATGCTGGTGGGGCAGAGCTGGCAATTAGGACATGAGGTTGCTGTATTGTCACTCAGCATATTGACTGATAAGAAGTGCATGTTAGCAATACTGATTGAGGCTTTTCTGTATCACCTACTCCTGCACTGGAGTTTTATATGGTTTAAAAAAGCCCTGACACCAAACACCCACAAGACAACAAAACTCCCACCTCTGACACATCTTTTTCTGGTGTCCATCCCTTAGGGAGGGATGAGCTGTGGCTCGTGTGGGAAGCAGGAGGGATGGGGATGAGTTTTGCCTGGGTCGGTCGCACTTAACCATGGGGCATTGCAAAGCCAGAAGTCAGGTTTAGCCCAGGTCCCTCATGCAGAGGGAGTTTTGGCATCAAAGCTGGGTCTCCCGGCAGCAAGGCATGGGAACATCACCCTTCTGCTTCTGGTCTCAAGCTGAAGTGATTGAAAATTCTTCCTTTATGCACTGTGGAGGTTCCAGATCTCTTCCTTACCCCATGCTAAGAAAACCTGCCTTGCATTGTGCTTCCCATCACTGTCTGATGGGCCAGGAGCAGAGACCAAAATGCTGCAGCAGCTTTCTTGGGTGTGAATGTAAGTTATTTATTATCATGTGGCCCCTTTGGAGGAGGCAAGCATGCCAAAAGAGTTAAACTCTGCTCATGCACGTTATCACCTGTGTGTGGGAGAGTGGGGCAACAGGTCTAGGAGTTGGAGCTCTGGGGAGGATGATTGAAAGGACTCTGCATGTGGAAACCTTCTGTTTGGACTGGGGATGTCTGCTCTGCTGGTACTATCAAAATGCAGCTGTGGTTCAGATACATGCTTGGTTAAGGAGGTGCTCGTTTAGGGATCAGCAACCAAAGCCTTTATTTGACACTTGGATGCAAAGGAGCTCTCACTGTCCTGCTCAGAAATGGGGATGAGAGGTCCTGTAAGCTTCACAAAATTAGTGCTTCCTTTAATGGATGTTCTCTCCCAAAACTGACCTCACTTGCAGGGGAACTCTTAACTCTGTCCCCAGGACAAATCTTTCCCAGTCTGGAAGAGCCCATGAATTGTAGTTTGGTAGCACTCATATAAGCCAGACTTGATATTTGTGTGAGCCTTATCACAGATGGGTTTGTGCTGTGGGGTAGCTGGTGTTTCTATGCTATGGAGCAGGGTGGGACCTCAGGTGCAGATTATCATCCACTGAAGGGTCAGACCCCGTTCATGCATGGCCCTGCTGCTGATGTGGGATAGTTGAGGATGCTGTCTGTGCTCTGAAGGTGGTGGACGTGGGCAAGTTCAGAAGACAAAGTGCATAAGCCGGTGGTGGCAATAGGCAATGCTGGCTCGTGGCTTCCAGCTATGTAAAGGGATGGCAGCATTTTCAGCTGGTGCTCTCTAACATGGAGCAAGTGATGTGAGCGTTAAACAGCCCCGGTAGAGCATGTGAGGTGTTGGCAGTGACACACAGACTGAGCAGAGACAACAGTACATACGAAGTGAAGCTCTTACTGTATCTAGTAGGCCGGTATAAATGTTCTTAGTTTGCTGACTTCTTTGCTGTAATCCTCAAACCCCCACCCCCCTCTGCTGTTCTTCCACCAGGACTGGGAGTTTCCTTGTTCTCATCTCTGTTTTCGTGTAGGCTTCCTGCATGTTCCCTCTCCCCTGCACAGAAGGGGGTGGTAAATGTTTGAGATGGGAAAAAGCCACCATCTGGGACACCCACTTGCTGATGTTGTCTGCCTTGTCTGCCCAAGACAGGCGGTCTCTGAGGCTGGAGATTTAAATGAGAGCACCTTTTAGGATAATTTTCTGTTCTTGCTGCTCACTTGCTCATTTCCAAGCAGCACTTCGGTGCTCCATGGGGTGCATTATTTCTGAGTCCTCCATCTCGAGGAAGTCTCAGATTCTTCCTTCATTTTGTAGGGTCAGGCTTGGCCCTTAAGGGAGTGAGGGACTCCTCAGTGACTCCTTCTTCTCCATCCCCTGAGCTGCTCCTGTGTACACAGAGCCAAGCTGCACTGGTGGGAGAAGAGGAGGAGAAACCTCTCTTTACATATATTTGAAGGTTGGAAACATCAAGAATGGGGAAGGTCATGAAAAATGCATGTCCCTCATGCAGGGGCTTAGCCTACATTCCCCACCATCTGACTCTGCCTCCTGGCCAAAACTTTGAAGATGTGCCCTCTGTTTTGAATTGGGTTTGCTGTTTCTCTGCTGTGTGAACTGCTCCTTCTCCCTGCACCATCCCTTGGAGGTGGTGCTCTGTCTTTGTGCCATCAGAGAGGTGATGTGCCTGGCACATGGCTGCTGGGATGCAGAGCTCCAGTGTTCAGTGGAGCCTGAATGTCCCCTGAGGGTCAGTGTTCAGTTTGACAAGGGAGCTCAGCACTACAGAGCTGTTTTAAGAAGGGTACCTCATGCAGGCTGCGTTGGTTACCAAAGCATTTCCCTATCCAGGCACATAAACCCAAAGGGCTCCTCTTAACATGAAAAGGAAAGAGCACTGACTGGGAGACTGCTCCCCACATGGGTGTATTTCACATCTACCGCC